GTGTTTTTCCAACCGCAACCATCAACCCAAATGCTTTTCAATGTACATTGCACCAACGGCCCAATTGCTTTGCATCTGTAACCCAATTTTTAGGGCCTTTCTACAATAAGAAAATGAATTAATGCCCAAAAGAAAAATAAAAGAAATATTTCAGCAATTCAAAAATTAAAAGAAAAGTAAAGAAAAAGATTTTTATTAAAAGATTTTCTCTAAAAAAATTTAATATCCTAATTATTTACAAATACTAAAAATTACTTCTAAAAACCTATTTTTAACTATAATTTTATAAAACTAAATAATTAAGAGAAAAATATAGAACTAGCCTAATTCTAAGAAATTAAAAACTAAAGAAATCTAAGAAATGATTTTTAACAAAGAAAAATATGTAAATCTAGAGTGTTATCAATAAACCTCAACGAAGGCTATTATGGAAGAAAACTAGAATTCTATAGCAACAGAGGAAAAGAATGACTAGTTCTGTAACGATACTATGCAACAAGACCTTTTGTGGGTTATAAAATTTAGATATTAACTCTATGCATATGGGTATAGACTTCAGTTTAACCTTAAAGTAAAGTCTATACTTTGACATCTATGTAAAGCCTTTTAAAAACACAGTAATATATTTTAAAATATTTATATAATTATAAACTTTGACACTTTAAATAATAAAACCTATATTTATGGACATAGACTTTTGTCATACTTGAATAAATGCATATAGTTATGAAATATTTAACATGAATGTAGAAAACTGTCGGGAAGTAACATGAAGTACAAAAGCTCCGAAAAGTAATTACAGATTGTAAAACTACAAGTTTTAGCATTTAAGGGGTTAGTGATAATTGTTATTATGGTATTGGTTCTACCAAAAAAAACCACAAATAATGCATCATTTAACATGAGTTAAAATACACATTTTCTTACCATGTTAATATAATTTACTTTCTAAAACACTGTAGAAAGAAAGGCTAGCTACTTCTTGTTGATATAGAACTTAGTAACTATATCCAACTTTAAATAAAACTAGATATAATAATATAGGTATTAGATATTGCCTTTTTAAATTAAATTAATAGTTTGATTGTGATTGTAATTTTAATTATACTTTCTTATATAGTCTCATTCATTTCAAATATTTACCGATATTGTTCATGAGAATGTAGTTACTCACTTTTAATGAAATTTCCCTCTCAGCATGTTTTTTCCGTTAAAAACTTACATTCAATAAACCTATTTATTATAAACTTTAACTTTTATGAGAATAAAAGCAACTTGTCTAAATTTTCTCCTTTTGTATCATCATCATCATGGTTATTTCTTCCTCCATATATTTCATCATGCATCCCATAGATTTGTCAAATAACTTATTTACCTTTATCTTTTTTTCTTCATCTTCTTTGTTCCACACTCTTCATCTTCTTTTTCTATTGAAAAATATGTTATAATTTGCAATTTAAAATATGTTTTTATTTTATATTCCAAATTATGTATTCTGAAATTTAAAACGAAAACTCTAAATTAAAAGGTAAAATTAACATTTTTAAGTGTATGAGTGTACAGGAAGAAATGGCCCATCATTCCAAAAACAAATTGCATACAACAACATGATGTTGGTTGGTGCTGGTTAGAATTGTTGAGTTTTTTAAATTTGGACTAACAAAAAACTCTATTTTTACAGACAAAATTCGTGACGAATAGTTGATACCACGAATATTTACTACCTGCAAGTTGCAGGTACTTTAATATCCGCTTATAAACAAATTGGTTATGAGTTTTATTTTTATTTTTTAAATGGATATCTATACGGATAGCAATCGAGTAGTAGATGAATTTTTTTTTTTCAGATCAGGTTGCATGTAGACAATGAAAAAATCATCACCATCACCTTATATCTGCATTGTTTCTTGTCTTGTGTGTTTGAAAAAATTTCACCAGTCAAATTTTGTTACTGCAGTTGATTATAAGAAATATGTTTCATATGCCAAAGTAAAAAGTGAATTTAAAATATCTTAGTTCATTTAAATTTCAAATTTATCTAAGAATAGTTCAGACATGATTGTATATTAAGAAAGAATTAATTTAAATGTTTTAATGGATGATTGGAAGGAAAGAACTTCATTTATATATCTTAACTACTATAAAAAAACATTTATTAATAAAATATATATTTCTCCTCTATGTGTCAAACTTATGATTGCAATTGGTGAAAACTCAATAACCTTAATTTACACCTTAAGATGAGAATGACTTTACCCTTCGGAAAAAACAATCAAACTGCTCACAAATTAAAAGGAAGTTAATAATAAAATATTTAAGAGACATAAAAAGATCAAAATAAAGATGAGTTGAGTGTCTTGAGATTTTGGTATAATAAAAAAAATGTTTCATATATAAGTATAATTCTTATTTACCTGAAACAAGTCCTGTTCCCCATGAATAATTTTAAACAATGAATACGAATAGCAACAAATAATTTCAAATATATTTATCTCATACAAATATAGAAATATTTTATCAAAAGTACATAATTCAAAAAACAAATTTGAAGGACAATCTAATAAATCTCAATACAAGTAATAAAATAAATCAATAAATTAAAATAATAATTAATAAAATAAGAAAGAAATTAGAGATGCAAATTAAGAAACGAATTTCATGTCAAAAAAATAATTAATTATAAATAAGATCGACAATGAAGATCAGACATAATATATTCAGTACTCTAAGTTATAAATCATCAAATAATACTAATAATTGTACTAGGTAGCTCCAAAGTCTTGCTTGTCATCATCAAGTGCTTACTTTCAAAGCAGTCTCAATATTTTCCACAATTTGACAAAAAAAGTTCAGCTGTGTGAACTTGTAAGGATGTTTCTTCCTGAAATACACCAATCGGATTTTGTTATTAGGAACACATTATATCAATTCCGAAAATATCCCACTCGTATTCTGGATCAAAATTTCCAGAAGCATGTGATGGTTGCAGGAAGAAACACCCACTTGGTAACTATGCTGATAATGGCATTAGTAAAATGAATTGGTGATAGGGTGTATCCACAAAAGAATAAGTTAAAAAAGGATTGATGAAGAATCTCCCAAAATACATGCTAAGGTTATGCAAATTGGTTGAAAGGTATACACTTTATTCAATAGGATCAATGATTAAGTTCAAATTGTTGTACATAAATAACACTTTTTTTTATCAGAGAAATCATGTAATTGGTTTCTTATATTAAGAGATACGGTAATCCTTTTTATATAAGTTCATGTATTTGATGTTAATATATTGGGTGTTAAAATTCCATCTTTTAGTACTTATTTATTTTAGTTATAACATATTATTAAAGTCGTAAACGAACATTCTAACTCAACCTAACCGGTCATTTATAAAGTTTTTAATTTTTAAGTGAAATGCAATTTTTTTTATAAACGAATTATTTTGGTTCAGTTTAAAAAAAATACTACATAAAAAAATCAAATATATTTTTAAAATTGAAATTATATTATTGAATTTAAATTTAAATTTTAGATATAATTTATTATATAAATGATAATGTATGTGTAAGAGCATTGAAAATCGTGTCTTAGATATGATGTGTTTTAAATTATGAGAATAAGTTCTTTTAATATTAAAAGTTTAAAATATGAATAAAATTTCTATAAACGAGTTTTATTATCTAAAATCACATTATTTTTCTAAACTTCTTTTATCCAGAGTTCACTACCCTCTTTAAAAATTTTAACCTCTTGAGTAACCCTGAGACAAAATCTTTAACTTTATCCAATCAGTTTCTGTAAAAGAGTAAATTGATTTCTACTTTTTTCCTTTGTCTGTGCTTTTTTTGTTTTTTATGTGCATGTGAGCAGTTCTAGCTTGCATGTGAGACCTTGAGTGTATGTTTTGACATATGAAAGTTTAGAGAGTAGGTATCGTGATGTACTTCCAGTCATTCAACTTATATAGTGATAAATCAGGTAAGAGAGAGAATGGTAAGAGGTCTTTACCCTGGACTTCAGATCTTCTTAGGTGTCAAAGATTAACCTCGTGAGTTGTAAGGTGATAACCTCCTGTGTTTATGACTCTACAGAGCATAAATACTATTACGAGTGCACACCTACAATAAAGTCCTATGTCAAAGCATGTATCCGGATAATTGAGTTTAGAGTCAATTGTATGTATGTTCTTATGAGTTATAATATTTTATAAATGTTGAACAAACATGTGATATGCTTAAATTGTTTTATGAAGTTTTTTTTTGAATGCGGGTTTATCCTACCTTCTTTTCTTTTTTATTTTTTTTCTCTTTTGCAATGGTCACATCTCGGTGTGAACACATGATGAGTTAAGTGCTGGCATGCCTTTAACGAAGGCCGAAGATGTTGTCAAGTGATATTTCATGTTTTAGCTAGCTAAATGTATAGTAGTTTCTTGTCTTTTGTAAAACTTGTATAGTTTCTCTATGTTCTTGTACATATACTATGTTAGTATAATTATTACACAAGATAACTGTATTAATAGGTAAGTGATCCACTTTATTTCTGATATTGCAATTCTGTACTTCAACAATGGATCAAAGTACCATAATAATCAGAAGAGAAACTGATTAGATTATGCACAAATAACAAAGGGAACTATAGCAACAAGAAAAAATCCAGTTCATCTAACAAAATCAAAAAAGACAAAATATAAATGTCACCCAAAGAATAATTTTCATCAGTTTTAATACTCCCCGTACTCTTCAAAATTGTTTTCCCCTGTTCCTTTTTGGATCGTTTTTACTGGCTTGATTAACTGCATATGAAAGTTAAACTTTGTCTATCTTTCTTAACTATATCAGCAAGGTGTCAAACTTTGTATTCCCTCTTTCTTCTATACACCCAAATCTCTTATTTATAAAAAGAAAAAATAACTAATAGTTGAATTTTTGTAATAACAAGAATAGAAACACAGGGGCGTATGTAGAAGTGCCATCATAGAATTGTTTTTTTTTTTCTCTCTTTGAAAATGGTGCATTCTGTAGCAAGTAAAACAAAATTGACTTACTTAAAAGATACACCACTTTCACATAACATTTGGCAATGCACCAGAGTTGAAAAGAAAACATAAGATTAAAATGGACGGAAGTACATTACAGGACACAGATAGCCAATTGTCACCAAGCAATTAAAAGCCTAACCTTGAGTTCTTTGGACAACATTCCCAATAAGAAACTTGGACACTGTGATTAGTACTCAACAGGTTTCTTGGTTGAACGCTTTATCAGAAGATGGAACATTTTGTTATTTGATGTGCAGGAAAATTGCAAGGAAACACAGCAGGTCTAAGATCCAAACCTTCCAAAAACTCTGCATGAATTGATTACAGGTGACACTCCAAAACTATACAAGTTTGTTTAACTGATCCGTTGAGAATGGTTTCCCGGTTCAAGTTCCTGTTAAGAAAAACAGTGAAAATGATCAGCCACACAGTACCAAAATCATCCACAAAGCTCACCTTCTACATTTTTCTTATTATGTTCATTATTCCTTTCTTTTATTCCCATGTAGAGCAAGGTTCATCTTAGAATTATACAAACAAAAAAGACTTTGTCGTAAAGTATACTAGTTCCTAGCTTTCTCCAATCAAAACATACACTCTAAATATTAAACTTTACTTTCAATTATAAAACAATATTTACAACTGTATAGGTAACAACGCTATCATATTTACACCTGCTGAAGAGGATGAGTTCGTGATAGTGCACTAAGCTGGCTACTTTCCATATTTGAAAGCACCTGAACCACAGTCTTCAGATGCGGAACACTGCAAATTCATGATCCACATCAGCCACAGTCAAAACAAAACCCACGCAATGCACTGAATTTCACACCAAATCATGATGCACTAAAAAAAAGAACAGCACTAGGCGTCAGCACAACATCTTTAAGATGCATAATTAGCACTATACAATTTAGCTCAACGTTTCAACTCAAAACACTTCATATGCACCCTAGTTCCAAAGTAAAGCTTATTCAAGTAGACAAGAGAAGGTTCTGACTTTTGTAGCCCATTTTCCATGTGTGCATCCAGAGATGATATCACCTTCGGTAACTGCTCCAAAATCTGTGCAACAAAAAACCGAAAGCAACCATCATTAAACACTTTTCCACATTGATGAGTCATCTCATCTACAACTATAACCCTGCATCACATAAATATAATACCTGCTCTGTATTCTTAATGGTGGGAACCATAGCCAAAAGGTTCTTAGGAAGCTTAACCAGTTGAGCCTGCAAACGATACAAAAAGGGCAAAAAATCAGAGGTTAATTTTGACACACTCAGCAAAGCTAAAGATTTTGGTTAACAGTGTACACATTTTTACTGTCAATTACTCTTTGAATTTTGGAGTAACTTAATTGTTCACTTCCAATTTATAGACTTTCATCGTCAATCAATCAGACATTACCGTAAGCACGACCTTCAAAGAAAGAATTCACTGTAAAATAAACAAATTTAACATATAAAATAGCACACGAATGCGTAAAAGTGTTAAAAACTTTCAAGGCAAACAACAGGTCTCTAAATGCTAAAATTGATAATAATTTATTTTCTGAAAAAAAAAAACATTCTTATTTAATCCTAAATGTGTAAAAATATTGCAATGCATCATGCTGTACAATTCAATAATAAGTTGGTCTCTCATTTAGTATCAAAATTGGTCCTTTAAAAATATTTCATTGGTCCTCAACCATTAAAGCCTAATAAATAAAATGATCTTGCAAATCCTAAGTACAAGTCGTCACTGTGTCAATATTTTTCACAGATAATAAATCAGAATTGTCGCCCAATCATGAACTAAACCCTAACATCAAACAACAACATACAAAACAATCAAAACTGGTCTCCCATCAAAAGGTCATCTGATCAAACATCAAAATTTTATTATTGAAAGCAAAGTTTTATTATTATTTTTTTTTAATTTTTGAAATTTCAATGAATTGATAGTGTAGATGTGGTACCTGGGCAGGAGAAGAGTGCTGCATAAGATGGAGGAGGTTGGAAGTGGACTGCACCGCCTGCGAGATCTGCTCAGCTACCGTAGCCTTCGCCGTCCCTCCGCCGCCGATCGATTCAGGTGCCGCCATTCTTCGCCAGAACGAAGTTTGACCGTTTATTAAATTGTCGAGGTTCATTTGTCAATGCTTTATTGGTTCATGCTAATGGTTTTTTTTTTTACTGGTCTGAATCAGAATTATGGCTGTTAATTCCAATATGGTGAAAGATTAAACTGTTAAAAGGGTTGATTTTGGGGACAGTTAATTATGCCCATTAACTCTAATTAATTAGTATTAGTTTTTTTACATTTAAGACTAGGCAAAAGTTAGCAAAAAGGAAAATAAATATAAATAATAAGTTTAAAATATTAGATTTTATATCATAAAAGAAATAAGATAAAAAGATTACGATTTTAAAAAGTTTAATAAATTCTTTTTAAAAAAATTAAAAATCACGAAATAACACGTGACACATTTTGTTCATTTATTGTTAACAAGTTAGACGGTGTTATGAAAAAGGATTAAATTAAACATAAATTATAAAAAATGAGACTATATTAACATTAGAAAAAGGGATATCATACTGAACAAAGTTCACGAAAATAGAGACCAAAAATGATGTTGAGCCTAATTTTTTAATTATTATTACAATAAAAAATATTATTAAAGGATAAAATAATTTATATTAATAAGTATAAAATTAATTGTTGTTCTTACTCGAATCTTGGGCAAGTACTTTTGGATAGGTGGCGAGATCATAATAGTAGTTGGATTTCTCTTTTTTGTGTGGAAAAAGACTTCTTGCATTTGAGGGAGAAGATTGATGTTGTGTAGGTTCAATATACACACATATCCATAGGTCTCCACACTAGTAAGCCCTCATAGATTTGTTTTTGGTACCACTCCAAAAGGCCTCTTACTAAAGGAGATATTTATGTGTATATAGACTCATGTTTATTTCATATTTTATCCGATGTGGGACTTTGTTTGTACCCAACAAAGATCCACCTGCAAAAGACTTTGTAAGCAAGTTAGAATCTTTTATAATAAGGTCAGAGGGATTATGAAGTGAATATTCCTTAAAGAATACTAGTTGTATTTATAAGATTAACATAAGTCATAGACTTATGTTTTTATTAAGAAAAATACTTACTTGAGGAGTATAATAACAATATAATAAATTGTAGCAAAATGCTAAATAATAACCAACATACCAAAATATCGAGATTTAGTTATGTAAATATGGCCTGTATAGACATATGTTGGACTATTATACAATGAAGAGGCTTAAAAGGTCTTGTTGGATCATGTTTTTTAATATATCTATTAGGTTGGGTAGGAACATAAGCCTCCCAATCTCGAGAGTTTGGTTTGGAATATGAGGTCATATCGTACCTTGAGCCTACTTGTGTAGTTTGTAGATGGATAAACAATTGGGTATGTGGATTGGCCTTGAGGACCCTATTTGCAAGTGGATTGGCCCTAAGGCCGTGTTTGCAAGTGGATTGGTCTTGGTCGTTTAGACTGAGCATATTAGGTGTGCATTGGTTGTGGATCTTATTCAATTTTGACCATTGAGGTCGAGCTTATCTAGCATGGATTTGACTGTTGAGGCCGAGACCATTGAGTATGGTTTTGGTTGTTGAGGTCGAGTTCATCAGTGTGGGCTTACCCATTCAGGTTGAGCTTTGAGCTCTTTAGATAGGTTGGCTATTCGGTTGAGATCCTTGACGCGATCAAATTAATACCACTAAACTATAACAACTTCGGTATTGCTAAGATAGTAACCACCAAAATAGAAAGGATAAATTCAACCCTAAGTTATCTCCTAACGAACACAAAATTAATTTATAACAAATTAGTTCTTATAAAAACTATACAAAATGGGTTAGTCAAATAAAATAATAGAAGTAATAAAAGAAATTAAAAGATTAAAGAACAAAATAAGAAAAGATAGAAAGAAATAAATCTATAAAAAGATTTAAAAAGATAAAAAAACAATGATAAAAAATAGGTTGGTTTCACTGTTTTTTCGAAATAAGATTCATCAATAGTTATCTAAAGATTATTGTTCAATTAATTATTATCTTAGATTTTCAAATTAATAAATGTAAATTCTCAATTAATTTGTTAGTGTTCTCACTTTTAACCAAAATACATTCTCAATTAAAAGCAAAAACTTTGTAAATTAGTCATGGTAAATTTAACGAAAGTACATTCTCAATTAAATATTATTGTGCCTAATTATATCTATTATTTTACCTTTTATATCAAGTAAAAAGTTAATTAGCCAAAGTACATTCTTGACTAATTCTTCTTAAAGTTTTTACCACTAATCAAAGTACATTCTCAATTATTGGAAAAAACTCATTCAATCACATATAAGCTTCTAACTTTAATCAAAGTAAATTCTCAATTAAAATTAAAAATTGTTGGACTCATATGATTGATATCTTATGTAGATTTCACACCATGCTAACTTGCTATAATGTAAAAATCATTACTTTTACATGATTAAGAAGCAAAAAACATAAATAAAAATAAATCACAACAAGAATTAAAAAAATAATTATTCATCTAATCTCATAATCTAGTTAAGAAATTACAGCATAATCAACCTCGACTTAATGTTGGAAGTCTCACATTGACTAGAGATAATGCCAATTTATAATATATAAGTGGGTGTAAACCTCACCTTACAAGTCGGTTTTGTGGGGTTGAGTTAGGCTTAAAGTCCACTTCTTAACATGGTACCAAAGCTATGGTTAGAGTTTATCTATTAGGCTAATTTATAATATATAAGTGGGTGTAAACCTCACTTTACAAACCGATTTTATGGGGTTGAGTTAGGCTTAAAGCTCACTTCTTAACATTTAACACTCCATGAAATGTGGAAATAACATGAAAATATAACAAGAAATGGTGGACAACATGAGATAAGAGAGACAGGATGAAATTTGAACACCCAAAGGGTTCCTAAGCTCCCCTAATGTGTTTCCCTAAGTCTTCTATATATAAATTGGATTGAGCTTTCTTCCAGGCTTTTCTGTTGTTGTAATATTCTTTATGATAATGTAATCTTTTCCTATTACCTTCTAAATAATTCAATATTTTCAATATATATTTGAATATTTTCAAGATATATTTGATTACTGTGGAGATCTAAAAATATTTGAGAAAATATTTGCTAGATTAAAATTTTTTTTGCAAATAATATCTTTCGATATTTATTTATATAGTTAAATAAGGTAATTATTTAACAATATCAAATAAAGTATCTTAAGATATATTTTTTCTCAAATTATCTTTAATCATAAACATTTATCAATTATCAAAACCCTTTTAGTAGAAAAAATACAGAAAACCTCAAGATCCAATTTTTTCTTGTATTTTCCCTCTCCTTAACTTAGTAAAGTTTCTTCAGTTTTTCATGTTATGCTTGTATTGACTTTTTGTGGTCTTGATTATTTACTATTCTTGGATTTATCTTTAAGGTGTCATGATACTTTAACTAATTTATTTCCACATCTTAATGAGTTCAACTTAGTTGTAGCTGCACTAACATACTTCAAAATATCCAAAGAACATTTATGCATCTAAAAAACTATTTTTAACATGTTTTTGTATCTCATGCTAAATAAACCCAATTATAACAAATCTTAATTAAAATATTCTATTAAAGTACATAGCCTGATTAAGAATCCAATATTAAAAGTCAAATGAAGGCATAAATATGCACTCATCAACATTCAACTCAACTTGAGCCGAATAACCAAGTATTTGAGTTCTCTTCGGAACTTACAACAAATCCACAGATGGATTTTCTACAAGGTACAGACGATTAACTCTCAACGAGAGGATATATGTTCAAATACAATACAATCTGTAACACTTGAAAGTGTTTCTCTCTTTTCAAAGATTTTTCTCTCAAAAGATATTGAGTGTAAGACGATATAAGAACTCTTTAAGCTTTTCTCTCTTTTCACATTGTTATTCTTCTTATGTTATCTTTCTTGCGTTTTTCATTAACAACATCTTTTCTCCAAACTTTCTTCTATATATATAGCTTCTCTTGAAATATGATTGTTAGACTTTAGTATACTTTGTAGGGTCCAGAGCTTTTTCTCATAGCCTTAAGCGAAACTTGAGCTTGTACGATGTGACAGAGCAAATGACTTCAAAGAAACATTTCCAAAATGTTCTTCTCCTCTCACAACGTCTTTTTCTTGGGTATCATATTCTTATAATATCTTTATGCTTTATTGATTTGCATGGATATCAAGAAACAAAGTATACAAGCATCGAAGTACTTTTTTGTATATGCATTAAATGTTTTGAACGTTGATAAGTGTTAACCAATGTACCGTGTTCAAGACATTTTATCATTTGTCATTTCATTAATAAATGCATCATTTGACAAGACAAATATATATAAGATGTTTTCTCATGGCTAAAGCGTTTAGCGGTCACTTATCAAACAATATTTTCTCTTGACAACTTTGCTTGATATAACATTATATTGAGTGAGAAACTTATTTTAGCTTTAGTGTTATATAAGAAAAAGACTTTTGTTTTCATAAGAAACTAACTTATTTTTCTCATATATTCTATTAAGAGATTTCAATGAGAGATATTTTCTTTTAGACGTTATTTATGATTTTGCTTTAGACAATCTATTCTCGAGACAATTTTGTCTTAACAAACTAAGGCTACGCAAAGAGTTCTAAGCTCCCTAATGCATTTTCCTAAGTCTCTTTATATAACAATTAGACTGGACTTTATTTAATCTTCTTTATGATAATGTAATATTCTCTAATTATCTTTTAAATAATCCAATATATGCAAGATATATTTGGTTGTTGTGGAGATATAAAAATATTTGAGAAGATCTTTACTAAATTAAAAAAGATTTGATAAATATTATTTTTTGATATTTATTGATATAGTTAAATAAGATAATTATTTAAAAATATCAAATAAAATATCTACAAATACATTTTTCCCAAATTATCTTTCATCATAATCATTTATCAATTATCAAAACACCTTTTGTAAAAAAAATAAAGAAAACCACAAGATCCAATTTTTTTTGTTTGTTCTCTCTTCTTGACTTAGCTAAATTTTTTCACTTTTTCATGTTTTTCTTCATGCAATTGGCTTCATTTCTAATGAATGATTTTGATTAATTAATATTCTTTAGTTTATTTTTAAAATGTCATGAAGCTTTAAATAATTATTTTTTACACTTTCGTGAACTTAGTTCCAATTGCTCTAAACACTTCAAAACATCCAAAAAAAAAACATTTACGCAACTAAAAAATTATTTTTATCATAAATATGCCTGCTCAATTCAAGTAAAGTCCAATTTTCTTGGATCCTTCTAACTATTGCCCTGTTGTTTGGCTAAGAGTTTGTTATTAGTGGGGGAGGTAAAGGTGGTTATTAGTGGGGGAGGTAAAGGTGGAATAAGAAGATGTGGAAAATGGGATGGAGGTGAAGGAACAAAATAGGGTGGAAGTGAGGAGGAATATGGGTGCCGGTGGAATTGGGAGAATGGGTCCCAAGAGGTGGAAGAAATTAGGGAGGTATAGTAGGAAGGAAGAAGGAAGAAGATGAGGACAAATTTGTCTTTTTATTTTGTTTATGGAGGTGAAGAAATAACCCTATAGAAGTTATGGACTAAGCCCATCACTACTCGATCTACCTCTTTACTCTTTCCACATTTCTATTTTTTCGAACAAAATCAATTTTTTTCAATTTAAAAAAATAAAATTGAAGAAAAATTACTCACATTGCTAATTAAAATTAAACACTAATTTAAAATTTTATATGTAAAATAAAAATACTAATTACAAAATCTAAAATCATGCTCATTTTACATGTATTAGAAATATATTTACAAGTACTTTTTCATGTAGGACAAGTGGAAAGTTCAAATTTTCAACTAAACAGGTAGTTGCATTTCGTAATACATACTAAATAAGAGATTGTAAACACTATTATTGTCGAGGCTGCCACGGTTACTGTCGTCATATTACACAGGAAGAAAAGAATGAGAAAACACGAGAAAAAAAACTTACTCTAGAAAGTTTTTTAAAGATTTGACTTTCGAAGAAGTTACCATACTAAGATGACTTTCAAAGAAGTTACTATAAAGCATACAAATTTAACATAAGATAATACATTATTGCATCACTATTAAAAACTTTTAGGGTAAATAACCATTTAGGTATCTTCAGAGTAGTAATTGATGATAATATTTAGTTCCTAGAAAAAGCAAAAACTCTTATTTAATCCTAAATGTGTAAAAAATTGTTGCAATTGCATCATGCTGTACAATTTATAAATAAATTAGTCCCTATTTTAGTTTCAAATCGCTCCTCGGAAAATAATTCACTGGTCCTTAATCATTACAGCCTAATAACAAAATAATCTCAGAAAACCTAAGTACAAAGTCATCGTCGGGATACTTTTTTTCACAGATAATAGATCAGAATTGCCGCTCTATCGTGATCTAAAATTAGTCATTGATTATTATACACTCAAGTATCAAAATGATCATTTATCATTGTAATTAAATTCTGATTACAAAATTTAACATTTATAAGCAATTGTACACTTTCACTCTATTCTCATAAAATTCATAAACAAAACCCTGACACCAAACAACAAGCAAACAAACTTGCCCCTATCAAAAGGGACATCTGATTGAACATCAAATTTTCAATATATAAACCAAAATTTTGCTTATTACTTTAAATTTTTGAAGTTTCAATGAATTTGCAGTGTTGATATGATACCTGGGCATGAGAGGAGTGCTTTATAAGGTGGAGGTTCGGAGGTGGACTGCACCAACTGCGAGATCTGTCAGCAACCGTAGCCTGCACTGCGTCTCCGCTGCTGCTGACTGAGCCAGGTGTCATCATTCATCGCCAACTTGTCACCCAATTTCATAAAATAATAAGTTAACCATACAATATGACATTTGAGTGGCTGACCGAAACAGCAAACTCCATCTTTGAAGCAAACAAAAACAGAAGCTGCCGAAATGCATACTCAGCAGCAAATCCTCTGATTTGTATATCACTATCCTTTCAATTGTTGTAGCTATCACTATATAACTCCACTTCATAAGCCCTTTAATAATTCCAAATCCTTCCCATGCAAGAACATTAGTTAAAATAACAATATTTCATTTGCTAGCTATCACCTTAAGGAATTGCTGATGCCTATAGAGGGCCTTATGACTTCAGAATTTGGAAACTTCACATTCATATCCTATAAGCAGATGACAGGAAGAATGCTGACAAGACCTGCATATGTCCAAGGACTATATAAACTATTTCGAGTTGGGTTACATGTTGCACCTGTAATTTCAATATCAGCATGGACAATTTCTTCTTTAGAATTGTATTCCCACTGCCTTTGCAATTGGATTTTTAGTTTCATAAACATTAATAAATGGGTTCATGTTATCTGAGAATATTTTATATCTCGTTAAAATATAAAATCTATATCATAAATTTCAAGGTGTAGGAACATATTATAATTGAATAAGTTCAATTTACTAAAACAATCACACAATTATTGTAAAAATAAGGGGCAGTGAATAACAAATCAGTTGCAGATGTAAATGTAATTCACGCAGACACATTCACAGTGCAATGCTCGGCACAACCTTGCTGGCTACACCAAGAGAGCAAACCACATTATTTGTGTCATCAGAAGTACCTGCTATATTCATCACTTTCAACAACTGCCCCAATCAATATCGTAACATATAATATAATAATATAATATAACAGTATAATAATACTTTCACTTTAATTACCACCAAATCAAAACAAAACAACAATCCATACAAAAATTTGACATTTTTTACAAAAAAAATGAATATACTCAAAGATAGGTTGAAAAAAGATCTCAGATGAGTAAGGGAAACATCATATCCAGTACCAAATAACCACCTTCAGCAGTTAAGCGGGCAATTATTTTATCAGGATCTGTTAACATAGATTTTTCATCTTCATCGTTATTCCTTTTACTTCAATCAGTAGAATATTTTCCCCCTAAACTTCAATATAAGTATATATAAAATGAGGATTCGAAGTTAAAAGAAAAAAAGGGAACATGTTGAAGCAATCATTCTCACAAAATTATGACAGGGCTCCATACAGCCACAATTGCACCAGCATCACTTTTGACTGCAGAATAATCAAACCTTTATCAGACACATTAACTGACCCATTATGTGACCAAAACAATTAAATGCACCATACCTTTTGGAAAAGGTCATTTCATTCATACATCTCCTCACCAAAGTCCAAAATCTGTCGGGTACGAGCTGCATTGGCCACTAAGAGTAAGTTGCTAAATAATAAAATCAAATTAAAGTATTCGAGGTTGTTATTATTACCTCAACTGTAGCTAAGCAGATACTCACATGGTACACAATTTCCAAAACAATGTGAGCCTATAATGCAAGAAGTTCAACATATTTATATATATTAGGATGAATATACTAAAGCAATTAAATGCAAACAACAAGAAAAAAGGAAGCAAGGTAATAAGACATACATTAGAACTGAAACCTGGATTTCTGGTAATCACCTGAATATTTAGATTCTAGGCTGAACTATACACAATGTGACCTCAGCATGTGAGCTGACTGAAAACAAACACATCCTAGGACTAATTGTATCACATCACATCATGGACTCATGGGGGTGGTTGTCATTTGTCATCCTCCAAAACACTATCAATAGCAACAGACAGACACCCAGAACTCCCTTCCCTTTCAACAACACACCGCACAATCTTACCCCACATCCCCATCTTGGGCACAAACCCCTTCCCCACCATATCCCTAACAACCCACTCAACCTCCCCAACCACCCCACTCTCACAAAATCCCTTAACCAAACCCTTATAAGACTCAAAACTAGGCACAAAACCTTCTACCCCCATCCTCTCCACAACCTTCTTAGCCTCGTCAAACCTCCCACCCTCAACCAACCCACACAAAACCTCATTATAAGACCCGCCATTAGGGGCCACACCCTTCCCCATCATCCCCTCCAACACCCTCCACCCCTCATCCACCCTCCCTCCCTTCCTCAACCCCCCAATCAAAATATTGAAAACCGCCACATCAGCATCTACACTTCCACCCTCCATCCTCTCCAACAACCCAAAAGCCTCCTCCATCCTCCCTCTTTCAGACAACCCCTTCATCAGTGTCGCATAGGTCCGTGCATTCGCCTCACATCCCAGCCCAGGAAACTCCTCCAGCAACTGATACGCTGCATTTAACTCCCCCTGGGCACAAAGCCCCTTGATGAGGATGTTCAACGAGCAAGCATCAAGTGTCACACCGAGCTTTGGTGCATGGAGGAAGAGGTTGTGTGCCGCACAGTAGAGACGAGTGTTAACCAGAAGGTTGAGGACAAAGTTGAATGTGCGTGTGGAGGGGGGGCAGGGCATTTCGTGGAGGGTGCGAAGTGCGTCGTCCACACGCTGAAAGGAGTGAGCATAGGCTTTGATAAGGGTGAAAAAGAAGTTATCAGAAAATTGACGTCTTTGGGGGCGAGGGAGGGTGAGGGCATGGTGGAGGGTGAGGAGAGGGTTGAGGTGTTGGGCCTGGGCAAGCTTGGCAACAAGGGTGGTGCAAAAGGGTTCGGTGGGGTCAAAGTCCTTGCGGCAGGTGTAGAGGTTAAAGAAGGAGAGGGTGGAGGAAGGGTCTGTGAGGGAGGTTAAGAGTGTGGTGGCTTCTTTCGGAGTGAGCCAGTCTTTGTGTTTCAGACGCGCCAGGATGGCGGCGTCACTATGAGGGGTTGTGGAAAATGGGGATAACAACCTGAGCAAGGTGGGTTTCAGAGGGACAACACGACAAAGAATTGGTGAAATCATTTCTTTTCTTGCTATATGTGGACTGGTCTTGGATTGATTAATATAAATATGGCTAAATTGGATTGATCACGGAAGAACATAAGAACTAATCACTCAAACCTACAAACCAATGATAATTTAAGATCATTTCCCAGTTAAACAATGCTATGATAAGACATTATTTGTTATCCTTTTACGAGATTAAAAGGATTTAAAAGAAGTAAACAGGACACCAATCTATCAAAGACCTAAACTCCAAAGACCCACTCTTCTCCATTGAACAACTCGTTTCATTCTCCTAAACACAACTCGTTTTATCACCAAACAGAGAATCACGAAGAGGAATCATAGAGTAACTGAAAATAGAGAGCAAAGCTTGAACAAGAAAAACGTCCCGGTGAAGCTCCGGCGGTGGCGTCAACTCCGAATGGCGCGGTGTGTCTGACCGTCGGAGATGCGGTGGAGACGAGCTCTGGTCTTGGGAGTGCGGAGGAGCTCGCGTGAGAGAAGAAGAATGAGAGGAGAAGTCGCACGCCACTAGTTCGCGCCGGCGACGGATCCAGTATGAACCGGAGGTGAAAGCAGCGACGTTGGGCGGTCACCGGAGGTGCAGCGGCTGCGGGTTCAGGAGGCAATTTTTTCTGCGCGTTAAGGAAAAAGTAGAAACCCTCAAGGTTTTTGAAGAAATGGGTTGGGCTGACCCTTGCTTCGCACACACCCCTCCTTTCATCCCCAGACCCCCTGAGTTTTATAAGCTCTATTATTTTACTTACTGCAGCACCCTTATTTGTTGAACCCCATCCTCTGTTTTGATTTTGTGTTTTGAGCCTGTTCTTATTCTGTTGTTTGCACCCGTACGTTTTCACTACTTACACTCCATTACCTTTTGGGGTTAGGTTGTGTTTTACTTTTCACAAACCTTATTCTACTACTCATGCTTCTACCTTTTTTATTATTTAGCATCCCATACTAACTTTTTATTAAATATAAAAAATAAATGTTTTAAAGTAATAATAAATATATAAAATTAAAAATGATAGTTTTTTTTTTGGCTTTTTCTTTTATGGATATATATGCAATATATATTTCGTTAATTGATAATATATATGCAATTGATAATATAGCTGCGAGATAATATATTCAAAACCGTAGTTAATTGTTAGATTTATATAATTGGAGTTTTCAGAACTGCCAATAATATAAATAATTTATTTTTTTTATTATTCAAATGATTTTGCAGTGTCTTAATAATAAATCAAAATAAAATAATATGAAACGAAAATAATATTATATAAAATTATATATTACAACACATTGCATAATATTCATTGCAAAAGAAGAAAAAATCAAATAGTATATGTAAATCATCTAAGCATTCATGTCAAATAACACTTCTATATTTTACAAGAATGTTTTGAAGAACATTTCATTTTAACTGTTGGGTACAAACAATGTTATGGACAATTGTTTAAAGAGTGCAATTTATTGAACTACTAACAACAGAAGTCATATTTGTTGATAGAAAGCTTACCCTAAGTATCTCGTTAAGTTGTTGACATGGCAATATAATTTACATTGTAGTAGAGAATCTGTATTATTTGGGAAATTTTGTATAGAAACAAAATAAAATATATAAATAAGGTACTTTGTGTAATTAATTAAGAGACAGAAAGAAAAATAATGTTTGTAAAAGTATTGTATGATGTGTTAAAGTCCAATTACAAATAAAGTCTTATATTGGAAATGGAAGTTCCAATATAAGATATTCCAGATACACTAAATAAATTCAACTACAATTACAATCAAATAGATATTTCGAAATCGAAAATTCTAGGTCCAGTAAACTAATATAATTATAATAAAATTTCATTGATGAGACCTACATTTTGATGTGCAATTCCAAATCCCCTGTCAAGTATGGTTATGTGAATATGTGAAGAGTATGTGTAAGACTTCACACTATCCATAAAATATAATGAATTAAAGAATAAAAAAATAGATTCACAAACTAAATATTAGAGCACCCCAAATGCTATATTTTCCAATAAAAAAACATTTTTTAGCATATATATATATATATATATATATATATATATATATATATATAACTCCCTTAATCTCATTTTATTTGATGTTTAAGATTTGGAAACTTATATTTTAACCAAAAACTGTTAGTGGAAACTTATTAGTTAAAAAAATAAAAAGAAAAATAGCAAATCAAACTAAACATCACATTTACTTTACTTTACTCTTTCACTAACAAAGGAGGGATGAAAGTGAGTTAGAAATGGAGAAAATGTAATGGAAGAGGGAAATGTTACTTTACTTTACCCTTTCACTAACGACCCATTTCACCTGCTTTTTTAATTACAACAACTCACATTACTTGCGTCTGCTAAGCCCATCCATAATATTCATTTTCTTAATTTATTATATTATTTAAATTAAGTTTTAGTTAAATTAGTAGTGTCAAAATAAATTAAAATTCGCGGATCAATCTGAACTACTATGAATTCGGACTGATTTAAGTTTAAAAAAAATATAATTTTTTTATACGATATAGATTTTAATAATTTTCTTTAAAGCAATCGTATACTTTCTTTATTTTTTTTTCTTTTCTTCCAAAGTTGGACCTATATCGATTAAAGAAATAGAAAGATGAACCAGAGTAGAAAAATTGGAAGAAAAAATATATGATAAAATATATATATATATATATATATATATATATAAAGGAGAAAATGATTGAACAATTACTTTAGATTCCTTTGCTTGTTAATTCAACATCTAGTGAGGGCTTGCCATGCCAAAGAGCTTTCTTCTGCTCATACTGAAAATCTCATCCTATTTTTTTTTTATAAAAACATTTTGAGGGCTACAACATGGATGAATTTACATGTTAACATGGAAACTAATTATTATTACAAGACATCAATTGCATGGCATGTCTTGCCACAAGGAATTGTAATTATGATCTCCCATGTAGTTGTTTGGGAAGACATAGTGTTCCTCTCCACAAGGGTCAAAACACCAACTCCTATCTTCAAATGGGTATGATGGCATCAAATCACCAAATTCATTTGATGAATTACCCCAATCAATTTCTTCCATTTTCCATGATTCACTTCCACACTCTTCCATGTCATTCCTCTCAAACTTTTCAAAACCTGTGGATGATGCTGAATCATCATCGTCCTCCTCCATCTTATTGCTTCCTCTAATTTCAGCCTCAAAAGCCCTAATCAAGCTATCCAATCTCTCATCATCACCCTCATCACATAGTGATGGTTCTTCCATCAATGACATTAGAAGAGCACCATTGATTTGCAACCCATCATCCCCCTTGATGAAAGCCAAACCCTCACAAACTTCAGATGCCATTTTTTTTGTTTCTTGTCTCTCAGGAAAAGAACAAAAAGATAAACAATAATAGAGAGATAGAGAGAGAATTAATGTATAGTAAGAGATAATTAAGAAGGTTTAGATGAATGAATTGAATGAGCCAAAGGGGGGTTTATATAGCCACTCAAGAAGGGGACATTGCACCCACCATGAGCCAGACAGCCATGTGAACATGTGCACTCAAGAAAACTATGTTATATTATTGTTTGATCATGCATGTTGCATATCCATATAGCATAGAGAAATTAAGAAAAAGTTGTGGCAATAATTAAGAAAATGTGTGTCTATGTGCTCGTGTGCTCTGGCAATAAGGACGGCTTGAAGTAAGCAAGATCTCATGGAAAAGAAAAAGCCATAGAATCTGACCCAAAAACCTCATTTTTTGTGAGTGGGACAAGGAAACATGAAAAGACAAAGCTTTTAGTGGATGAAAATGAAACCTCTACTTGCAATAAAGTGGGGAATAGTTTTTTTGCATAGTATATAGTAAATGGGTTTTGCATAAAGTGGGGAATAGTTTATATACAATATCACTTGATGGGTGTCTATGTGCTATGGCATAATTAAAGAACAACTTCAAAATAGATAAAATAATGCTATTCCTTTTAATAATTCCTTCTATATCTCTCTTATAAAAAATATTAACATTTTAAAAGGGTACATATATAGTTCTTTAACTAGAGCAAGGACTTGATCAAATATGGAAACAATAGTTGACTAGAAGGACACACGATCCTTCAACTTTTAAGCATAGTAACATGAAATTGATTACTTGTGGAAACTATCTGTCTACCATGAAAGCTAGATAAGAATATAGTGAGCATTGAATACTAAATTGGAAGCTTCACCAGTGATAGTTGACAAGGTTCCAAAATGATAAGAGTCATGAAAATGAAAAGGATAAAAAGGTAAGCAGTCTTTTTTTTTTTAGAAGGTGGAGGAGATGTATACTTTATGATTATAATTAGAGTGAATTATCAAATAATTATTACATGAACATTTCTTATATAACTAGATAAGATATGCAACACTAATATTATGGTCATAGATTGTAAATCTAAGTTGTAGATGTATTTTCTCATAATTTTTAAAGTTTTCACTTAATTATTTTTTTTCCAGAAAATAAACGAAAATAACGATATTTAATTTTTTTTTGCTATAAAATACTTTATTTTTTTGTAGAAAGAATATTCTTTTTTTAAAATGAAATATTTGAGTATAATTTGTTTTCTTAATAAGTTTTTATAACTTATTATTTTTTTCCATAAAAGCTGTCAATTATCGTATTTAAAATAAAATAATGTATAAACCTCTTAAAAGTTGATTTAATAAAGCCTATCATCATCCTTTATTAACGAAATAGGCTTTAAAACTTAAACATTTTTTTCTTCCTATAATCCTTTATCAAAATATTTTGTTCTCCTATCATGATTTTTATATTAAAAAAGAGAATATAAAATGAATATTGATAAATATAAAAATCCTTTATCACCAATATTATTTTTTCTCTCATTTTTTTCTTGTTATTATTGGTGAGTGTTTATAGTTTTTATTTTTTATTTTTGTAGTTATATATGAGCAAACTTTGAAAAAAATTTAAAAACTAGATAATTCTTTGCCAAAAAAAATACTTTTAAACATACACATCCTTATTTATCTTTTAAATGTCAATGTTTAAAGTAAAATCTTCTTTACTATCTATGCTTAAAGATCTAGTGTCTTTGGTATGAAAGAACACTTTAGTATATATGAAGATTATCTTTTCCCCACTTGAAATTCTTTAAATTTAGATAAGGTTCCAATGCAGAAAAAATAGATTCCACTTAAATTGATATACATGTAAAATCTCTAGAATAGGATGGGAGAAGAAAAAAAATCTCCACATCATCCACATTATATAAAAATTGTAGGCACCTAAAATCTGGTTTGTGGGGTTGTGTAAGATTTTGGGTAAGTTTTACATTTGTGCAAGAAGGATTTTGAAAAGATATGCCTCCAATGAATAGTTAAGGCATGAAAGCAAGTGGACCCAATTAAGCAACAAGAGATTGATGATAAACCATTGTTTGTGACCACCCAACTCACATTTAGATGTTTGTGGGGTTTAATTAAGATACCTAGAATATATCACTTTAAAATAATGGATGGTGAATGAACCACTCCCATGTGATGTGCATCATTTATTGGGGAATTAAGCATATATTATATTTTATGTTAATGAATTGAATGTTGACAACCAATGCTACTCTTTCAGGCATGAAGCCAGAGTATCTTGTACCATGCTTTATTGAAAAAAGGGTGACTCTATATGCCACCACAATAATATATATATTTAATATATTAGTCAAAAGTCATTGTAACAAGAAACATGATCATGGATATTCTAGCAACAGGATCCATGCTTTGCACATTAATTTGTGCTTAGTGCTTTCCCCTCATTATGCATTTCTGCAATAATGACCAAGATAAGCTTCTCATCTCTTTAGTGTATGTACTTTTGAAGAGAAATATGCCATGATGTAAAAGATAGTTTTTTTCAAAGATAATTCTCTTTTACTCTTTTTCTTTTAATTGTGTAATTTTAGTACACATTTTAAGTTTTTATTCCATCAAATTGATTTTATTATATATATTAATGTTTTAATAAATTACTAATGTATTTAAAGTTATAAACTGAAAAAGGGAGAGAGAGAATTATCTTTGTTTTTCTTTGCTGATCTTGTTCATGTTTTTAGACGGCGGAAAAATGAATAATAATTAAGTATCAAAGGAAAGAATAATAAAAGTTATATTTATTTGATTGTTTTTTAATATACATCTTATGAAAATCATTCCACCACAATGTCCGTGCTAAATGAATGAAAGAAGATACGTTGTAAACACTGCATATAGGTATACATGTTTTTTTTTTGTAATTTTTAAAATTTCGTGGAGGCATGATTAGGTTAGCCTTGGACCATTAATGAAGAAGGATCAAGAAACAAGTTGAAAACATGAATTGAAGGCACGAAGAAGGAGGTCCCACATAACTTAGAAAAGCATTTTCAAGACTATTTTTTATTTTTGACAGAATACTTTTGTCAATGGTTGTAAAATTGTATTTTTATTCTCATATCTTAAGATAAATGTGTAAGGGTAGCTACTTGTAATTATCAATTTTTTAATTACAATTATTGGTTGGTAAAAATTGATTACAACTTCACTCACTTTAGATATAATAGTTCGAGATGTGAACAAAATTCTTGAAAATATATTAAGAAAGATATAATCTTCTAAATCAAAGAAAAATTGATTCTGTTTTCGTTGTGGAGAACGAAGACAATGGTTTAACATCTTATAGGTTATAAAGAGTCTGAATGTTAAGTCCAACTGTTATTTTTATTATAGTCAGAAATATTTTGATGCAAAAATCAGTAAAAATTTCACAGATACATGTAAAATCACTTATTTCCTTACTTTATATTTATATTTAATAACGACCTAATATGATCTAATTGAAAGTAATTATATCTTACATTAAGTTATTCAATATTAGGGATAATTCTTTGTCGCATTATCGATTGGTCTAACTTCATAGCTATTTGGTCACGAGTAGCTCAATGGAACATTCATCAATACATATTTCATCATACAAAATGCTTAAAAAGTTTATTACAATAAACACTTATGAAAAACACAAGCGAGATTAGATAGATTCCACTGTTTTGGAAAAACTAGTGAAAACCACACTTTATTACAACCACATTTCACATATAACACAAACAATAAAGATACAAACCAAAATTCAAACGTAATTCGAGGAAACACCAAACATAGGTATAGAAAAAACTCAAATACCACTTTATATTATATTTCTTATGAAACAGTTTTTCTTTATCATAAGGAAACGAAAAAAAAAAATCTTTATCAAATTAATTTGAGTTATCGGTAAATACAAAAATAATTTTGTTTGACGAATCGCCAAAGTCACCTTACTCGAGAACAATTAATGAATGAATATGCTTTTTCTTTAAAGTACTTATAATCAAATTTTTTTTAAGAATACATAAAGGACAAATTGCGTCTCAACTTTTTATATGACAAGCTATATTGCAGTGGTGATGATGAGATGAAAAGAAAACTAAAATTGTAAAATAACAAGTATGAATTTTAAAATTCAAAAGCATTTAACTTTGTATTCAAATGCTCTCATTAATTTTTTTAATAACATGTACACGTAGTTATGAACACATTCACAAATTTTCTTTTGGAATACTAAATTGATTTCAGAAAACTACATCACTTGGCCCTTGTGCCAAATAATTAGTGTCTCTGTGTTGTTGCTCCAAGAAAACTCCATAGCACAACTGAAAGTCTTCAACATAACTTGCAGCTTCAAACTCCATTTGTGCATGCTCCATCATCTCATCTCCACAAGGGATCCATGCATTCATCTCATCAAAGGGCAAGGAAGAGATGATGTTCATCTCAGCCCAATGATCAGGTTCACTGTCTGATGTGGAGAAATCCTGATCATCCATTTGAGCTATTTCGGTGTCACTGATCTCAGCCTCCAATGACTGAATCATGCTCACAAGTCTATCATCACCATGATAATACTCTTCTTCCTGTGTTTCTTCCATCAGTGACATGAGAAGAACATTGTTGGCCTCTGAGAACTCCACGCCCAACTCAAACACACACTCTGAGGAAGACATGTTTGTGAAAAAAAAGGAGTTTGTGAGAAACCCTTTTTTGTTTGGTTTATGAATATGGTTAAAGTGAGAGAAGTAGAAGAAATTAAGGTTGTTGCAGATGCAAGATGAGTTTGAAAGGTGAAGAAGGGACTCTTATATAGAGAAAGAGTGCATGGTACACTAATTAATTAATACAAGGTGTGGGGTAGGTATGCTTGTTGATGGTGCATGCAGGCCAAATGAATAATAAATTATGTAGTNACATGAGAAGAACATTGTTGGCCTCTGAGAACTCCACGCCCAACTCAAACACACACTCTGAGGAAGACATGTTTGTGAAAAAAAAGGAGTTTGTGAGAAACCCTTTTTTGTTTGGTTTATGAATATGGTTAAAGTGAGAGAAG